ATGGAGGTGTTGGAGGTACAATCGATAAGAACAGTAGAGTAGAAAGTAGTGGTGAGTGTTGACAGGGATGATGAACCATGCTCATGATGTGGTCACTAGGATGAGGAAGAGGAGGAGAGAAGGGCAGGAGGGGGTAGACGCCCTATCTGGCCGGAAGCCTCAGGAAGCAAGAGGGGAGGGAGACTCTGCTTACCCCAGCCCACCGCACAGAGCTTGAGCAAGTATCGGCGGATGTAGATGTTGTAGACGCGCCCAAGGAGGAGGTAGAGGTTGAAGCCTTCGATGGCCATCCAGGTGAGGCAGCTGAGCAGAGCAAAGTGCAGGATGGCGGCCAGCGCTGTGCATGCTGCCCCGGACTCGGGGGGCATGGCCAGCTCAGAACTCAGCAGGAAGGCGACATTCAGGAGCAGCACGGAGGCATGCAGGTTCATGTGGATGCGTGTTATGGAGTCACCCTGCTTCCTGCGGGTGGAAGCAGGGCCTTCCGTGGCCTGGGGACATCACCCAGGCCGTGCCACCCCCTCATGGACACACAACTGAGGTTGAGGGGGGCAGGGACAGAACAACAGCCACACGGCAAGGCTAGTCTCCTGCCTCCCAGCCTCCGTCCCCGTGAGAAGCCCACCCCCCTCTGGGGGCTCAGTTAGGTAAGAAGGAGGGGTGCTGAGCAGCAGTGGGTGGGCAGGCCTGGCATGGGGGCAGGGGCATACCTGGCTTGGCAGTGCAGCAGGGTAGTGAGAAGTGAGGCCACGATGGAGATGCTACAGCCCACCAGGGAGATGTACGTGAGAGGCGCCAGCAGCTCTACTGGGACTGGGGCTAGGGACAGTTGCTGCAGGAACGAAGGGGGAATGGGAGACAGAAGCACGGAAATGCCCTCCCCACGGTGACAGGGACCTGCTAAGACCTCAGCTCCAAACTCCCCTGTCTCACCACAAACCTCACCGTGGTCCCGGCTTGAAAAAAAAAAAAGCCCTGGCAGACACAGTGGCTTGTGCCCCCCTCAACTCCATCTCCCTTTTCTCTATGAGAACCTCCCCTCCTTCACTGTCTACGCACATGGGCGGTCCCACTGTGTGTAGACAGGTGCACCAGGCCTGACTTATCAGAGCCCCCCCTCCTGCTGCCCAGTGATTGGTTGAGGGATGGGAATGTGACACACTCCAAGGCAGTGGGACTCTAATCCCAAGACTAGCTGGCAGAATTGGGTAAGAGAAGCTCTCGTTCTACTCGCCTAAAAGATAGTAGGACATGAGCCTGGATCTGCTAGCAGCCAAATTATTATCCTGTGGGGAAATCCTGTCTGAAGGCTAGGCCAGCACAAAGCAAGCACAGTTGGGAGACAGAGCTAGAGCCCTGTCTTGGTGATACTGAGTGTCTGGATCAAGCCATGCCTGAAGCCTAACATAGTTTCTTCAGCAACATGAGTTCATAAGTTTCTTTTTGCCTCCTTAAGCCCATCTGAGTTGGATTTTCTGTCCCCTACACCAGCCTTTGCCTGCTCCTTTTGCTTAGACACGGGGCCCTTTATAGCTTTTACTCCCCTCACCAGGACTGGATGCACACATACCATGAGAACAGCAAAGTAGCTGAGGTGATTGCAGCGGCAGAGCACCTGGGAAGGTGAGGGCTTCTCTGTGCGACAGCCCTCGGGGCTCCAGAGCCCCCAGTAGTGTTCGCTGGCTCCTTCCTTCCAGAAGACACAGGTCACCGTGTAGCCTTCCTAAGGGGAGAGGCTGGGGTTGGGTGCATCCAAGGGGTGTGGGGGATGGCCGTGGGTCAGAGTCTGGAAACTGTAGGGGCCAAAGTTGATTCAACTGCACCCTAGTCAACATTTTACCAGACACTGGCTGGGCTTTGGCATCAGACAGACCCAGATTCCAGCCTCACCTCTACTCTGGACTCTCAGAGTGACCTGGGCAAGTTGTCGAGCTTCTCTGAGCCTCAGTTTATTCATCTGCAAAATGGGATCATCTATACCCAAGTCTCAGGGATGGTATTAAATTACAATCAGTGAGGAATCTTAAGGGTCCAGCTCTGGCTGGACAGTAGGTGCTCTATAACCAACTGTCCCCTTTTCCCTCCTTCCCATGGGGAACAACAATGGTGCAGACCCATGCCCAGTGTGGGGGAGAGACTCACATGCAGACAACCCTGAAGCCAAGCCATGTGGGTGGACGGGTGGGGGGAATGACACAGGCAGTGCCATGGAACACCACTGAGGAAAGAACCTTTGCAGGGGCAAAGGTTCAGAGCAAAGAAAGGAAAGGATGATGGAGAAATTGAGAGTGCAGCGCAGTCCTGAAGAGGCTGACGGGAAGTCAGGGCAGACCGTAGAGGCTCTGGGCTTTTCAGGAATGCCAGGGCCAGAAGAGCGGAGGCATCAGAGCTTTTGCCCACCCAGCAGCCCTTCTCCCTTCCTCCAGGATCAGCTTCTGCACTTCTCTGGAGGACCCACGCCTCCCCCCATGGCAGGTCAGATGAATCCAGCCCAGTCCCTGAGCCATGTGACCTGGGCCTGGCCAATCCACACGTTCCATCGACCTGGTTCAGAGATGGACACGTGACCCAGCTGGACCTTTAGGACTCCATTCTGGGACCCTGGTTTGCACTGATGAAGAAGAGCCTGCTGGGAAGAGGGGATAGAGGTCCAGCACTTTAGCTGCCATCTTGCCAGAGCAGAGAGCCAAGGCAGGAAACCATTGGTGAGAGATGGAAAGAGGCTGAGCCAGGATGGCATTATATCGGCCCCTGGATCCAGCCATGCCTGAAGCTTGACAGCTCTGGACATTTCATTTATGGGAGCTGATCAATTCCCTTTTGTGCTTAAGCTGGCTTGACTTGGCTTTGTATCACTTGCAACTCAAAGAGTCCTGCCTAGGGGGCGCCTGGGTGCCTCATTTGGTTAAGCTTCCCACTCTTGATCTCAGCTCAGGTCTTGATCTCAGGGTCCTGAGCCCAAGCCCTGCATTGGGCTCCACGCTGGGGGTGGCGCCTACTTAAAGAGAAAAAAAAAAAAAAATCCTGCCTACTGCAGTAAGTAAAAGCTTCTCTCTGATTTCTTTGACAGGAATTTTCAAACTGTGATAGATTTGAAATTGTTTGTTTTCAAAATGCTTCCACAGATTTGGGTTTAGTCAAGCCAAAATTCAACAGGAGAGCCACAAGGGGGCAGGGGTGAGGTGGAAATGGGGGCACCCGCCCTCCCAAAAATACCAGGCTTTGGTTGTGCCAGAAGCTGATGTTGATCGGCTCACTGAGGTTGCTCACGTGTCCATGACCCAGCTGGGCTCCCAAGACATAGTTATTGAGCAGAGATGAGTTGATATTCTGGAAGGACAGCAGAAGAAGGGCTGACTGCAGGGGACACAGGGAGAGACCGGCTGAGGGCTGAGAGCCCCCCTTCACCAGCCCCTTCCCCCAAATGAGAGCAAGCAGCATGCCTGTCACATGTCCAGCATGGGCCAGCCTCGCAGCCTTCACATACGCTGTCCCCTCCACCTAGAAAGCTGTCCTCTCCGCCCAACTCTCTGCCATGTGTTGAGTGGATTCCAGCCTCCATCCCAACTAACCATTATCCTAACTCACTTTCAAAGCCAAGGTTAAAAGGCACCTTTGTCTATCTCCCACCTAGGGACAGGCGCACACGTAGGTTCCCTATAAGTGGGCCTTCCCACCATTCTCCTCATACTGAGGCCCAGAAGGGGCAATGGCTGGGTGCACAATGGGCTGGTCCCACCAGGTGCCGGTCCCTGCCCCAAGGTCAGCCGATGGCATGGATGCCCACAGTGCCCCAAGGAAGGGGCCGGCGCCCACCCTGCTTGGCCCACCAAGGCAGTGACCTGGAAAAAGTAGTCCGTGAAGAAGTAGACGCAGATGAGACGCAGCTCCCTGGGGGGGGTCCTGCAGGCGTCCTGGGTCAGCTCGGCCGGGAACTGCATGGCATGTGAGACCTGCGGAGGGGCACGGACAGGCTGAGCCTGGTGTCCACGGCCTGCAGGGCCAGCCCCAGTGCCTTCACTGCCCCCCACTTCTTACGAAGCCTGCCTGGCCTTACCCCAGGCATTTCATTCCTCCTAGCCACCACCTAGGACCCTGGATTCCCTGGCCTCTCCCACTGCTGCCTCCCCCACCCCCCACAGACCTGCAAAAGCAGGAAGAGGACGCCGCCCTTGAGGGGCCACAGGGCACCCCCTTTCCCATCATTCGCATGACGAACATCAGCCCCATTTTACAGAGGAGGCACCTCACAGCTGTGAGGCCAGACCAGATTAGTTTGGGTGGGGGGAGGGCAGTCCAGACCGTAAGCCCATGGAGGATTTCTGGGGTAGAGGTACTGACTGTCCCCCGGCCCCCCGACCATCTCTGACCTGGGGGACCCGCTCCAAGGTGGTGCTGCTCAGTGACAGGCCTGCGAAGTTGCAGCCCAGCTTGAAGATCAGTGACTGGATGGTGGGCGTCTGCAAGGTCAAGTTGCTGCCCCCGAAGCTGGCGTTCAACAGCCTGTACTCCAGGCCCCGGATGAGGCTGAGGGCGAGAGAGCTGACCAGGGTCCCCAGGCGGCTAGAAGGGCGGGGCCTCCCCCAACCGCATCGGCCTCTCCCATCTCTGGACCTCTGCACACACAGTGCCCCTGGCACCCCCTTACCTTTCCACCCCACTCATCCACGTCTCCTGATTACCTCTCTTTCTGGTGCAGCTTTGTTGACACCTCCTTCGGGAAGCCTTTTCTGGCTTTTCTCTGCTGGCTGAGTGAAATACCCCATAGTCTCTGTGCTTCCCTGACCACTCATCAGCACTATCCCCTCACCCGCAGCTGCGTGGCCATGAGATCACAGGCCCTCGAGAGCCCGATTCGAGTCTTGCAGCTCCTTCCCGGAAAAATGCAGAGACCCAGGATTCTGCACCGGGTTTCATGGCATCCATAGTTAAAGACCCTCAACCAGAGAGCAGACTTGATGAGGGCAGGACATGTTTATCCTGCATCTCCAAAGCCCAGTGCCAGGCACACAGTAGGTACTCAATAAATAAAGGCAGACAGGAGGGCCTCCTGACTCACTCAGCAAGAGAAGTCGAGTTGCGGCTTGTGGACATCACCTCCAGTTTCTCCATCCAGAGCAGGGGTTCTTGGGATGTCTCTGTGGAGCAAGTCAGACCTCCACTTCAGCCTCTGTCCCTGGGCCTTCCACCCCAGCCTCAGCCTTGCTGCTGCCCCAGGAGGCCGCAGTGCCCCCTTTCAAGCTCCCTTGGTTCGAGGCATCCCCCTTCCACATCACAGCCAGGGGCCCGGGCTAGGATTGCCCCCCAGCTCAGCAGCACCCTCTTACCCATTGTCTCACTCTGAGAAGTCATGAAGCATAGGCAGAGGAAAAAGGCCCCCCAGCAATCCATGTCCTGTGCCCAGTCTCTTCCGAGAACTGGCTCCCACCCTAGAAAAGATGCATGTCATTGTCATTATAGTAAGAGAGTGACCTCTCACTTCTAGGTGTCTGGCATGTCCCAAGGGTAGGACATCCAGCATCTTAGTTGATCCTTGTTACTCCTGCATTTCACAGATGGGGAAACTGAGGTTCAGGGCGCAAGTGGTCTTGCTCTGCGTGAGGCCCCCTGAGCCAGGTCTCTATGACTCCAGAATCCCTGACCATTTGTTCAGAAATGCCTGCCAGTTGTAGCTCTGCCCATCACTCCCCGTCCCCAAAAATGGCCTCTCTGGGGGCTTCTCCGGGGCCCTGACTTCACCCAGAGGGGAAGCTGCTTGGGAGCAAGCAACATGGAACCCTGTCTAGCTCTGTCATTGATCCACCATGTGACTTTAGGCAAGGGTCTGTCCCGCCCAGCCTTCATTTTCTGTGGTTTTAAAAATAAACTAAGAAACTTCTGCTTGAATATAGCAAATTTATGTCAAACCCCCTGAAACTCCACTAAAATGAGAGTGAGTGAATAAAATGGGCACAGAGCCAGGAAGACAGAACAAGGGGAAAGAAGACAACAGCAGGCAAGAAATGTTAGCAAAACTCTGGAGGCTCCAAAGCAGGTGGCCACATGGTCCTACATCGAGCAGACCATAAAAAGTTGAACCTGAGTTCCTGCAGTGGGGAGAGGTGTGGAGTGAGTGGAGGGAGAGAGAGGGAAGGGGACAGGGAGAAGCCTCACAACCCTGGGAACACTTGAGAACTAGAGGCATCGAGAACCTCTGAAAGCAGGGATGAGGGATGAAGCCAAAAAAATGGGAGATAGACGCTTATGAGTCTCTTTTTTTTTTAAGAGAGAGAGAGAGTGTGCATGAGCTGGGAGCAGGGGGTGGGGGGCAAAGGGGCAGAGGAAAAGGGAGAGAGAGAATCCCAAGCAGTCTCCATGCTCAGCAAAGGGTCCAACACAGGACTTGATCTCACAACCCTGAGATCATGACCTGAGCCGAAATCAAGAGTCAGATGCTTAAAGGACTGTGCCACCCAGGTGCCCGGTTGTGAGTCTTTAAAGTGACCAGCTGGGGTCCCAGATCTCCTCTGCCACCTGGGGTATCCAGGACCACTGTCACCACCCTATCACCCTCAACTCCACCCCAACATAAAGTTCATTCCCTGGAGAAAGTGCATGATAGAGAATCTGAGGGGAAGGGTGGGATGCCATTCAGGTATAGAAAAATTAAGCCATATTCCTTCCCCACCTCCTCCTCCACTCAGCTTCCAGAAGCCGGCAGCAGCCAGGCGATGATGTTCTAAGGCAGGAGAAAATTCTTCTCTAAAGAACTGGCCATTCCAAGAAAAGTATCCTATAGCTACAGATATTTTGGTGTTCCTCAGTGAAATGGCCAGGACCAAACTTAGGTTAAAGCTTTCCCAATCATCAACCCTGACAAGCAGTTACACTTTAGTGCTGCACTCTTAAAGATGAATGGTCAACCAAGGATCATTAGTATTTTATTTTATTTTATTTTTATTTTTATTTTTATTATTTTTTTT